CATTGGAAAGCGCACAGTTTATCCGTAAATGGCTTAGAATGTTTTTTGTCTTTCACGAGAGCGTGTATACTAGTCTTTTGTCTTTTAGGTTTGGCTAGCTACAAAACCAGGTTCAACCCACCGTTTTTTCTTAAAATGTCCTGTACCAAGTCAGGAAAATGGCCATTGTTATATTATAGTTCGTTTCTGTGTGTAATACATTTTAATGTTGTGTTTCTGTTGTGTCGTAGTTCTCCTCTTATATTTGATGTTATTCCCTCAGTTTTAGTTTGTAACCCGGATTTGTTTTTTCCTCAATCGATTTATGAATTTCGAACAGCGGTATACTACTGTTGCCTTTATTTTGTATAATGTAGTCGGGCAGGGACGTTTCTCCTTTTCCTAACGTATAATTGGTGGTGTCGATTACAAATAGTGAATTGGTCACTAGAAAAGGTTTCCATTTGGTTTCGGGTCTCTGTTTCATCAGGTATTCCCGCAGATTTAAGTCCGTGAGTTTCCGCCGTAATTTATCGAGATCACCTCTCTTTGAAATAAACAGGGGCTCATGAAAGACGGAATCGTTTTCGTAGGGTTTAAAAAACCTGTAGTGCTTTTCTTCTTTGTGAATTAAAATGACGCCAGATGTCATGGTAAGCTTGAAGACGTGTTGTTGTCGCTGGTATATACTGTCGGCAGCTAGCATGAGTTGGTGCATGTCGACGTCATTCGTCAGCAGTATGTTATATACGGAATGAATGGGACCTTCTCGATGATTTTTCAATATTAAAGGAGCGTTGGCCTCGTACACTTCTTTTAAAGCTAGGTCGTTTTCACCTCCTTCTATATCCCAAGGATAAGGGCCCTGTCCATAAGGGGACGCTTGCACTTGTGTACCCTGTCCGATCTGATAGTGTCGTTGCATGCCGTGAAGGTATAAGTCCCGTTTGTTGTTGAATGACTCATTACAACGGCGACAATGAACACGCTGAACGGATGGCTTCGAGGGATTGGTGCGTGGTTTCTTGGTGGCTGGTTGCTCCATGGATACTTGTGTCGGTCTTTTTAATGATTGAGTGTTGGGACTGTGACTGTATTGTTGATGTTGACGTAATCCGTTAGCCGTGACACAACACTTGGAACAAATCATACATTCATATATCGGCAAAACACTGGGGCTGCCTCAGCACTGATTTTCGTGTTTGCGTTTTTTATAGCTCTGAGCGAACGTTTTGTGACACTTTGTACACGGATACCGGATACTTTGATGTTTGGTTTGTTCATGAGATAAAAGTTTTGCTTGTCGGTTGAAACTTTTGTCGCATAGATCACATGTTAAACGAAGTCGTGCAGATATTAAGGGATGCGACGACAGATGTTGTTCTTGGGCCCATATGCACATTTGCGAGGGCGAATGTAACTTCTTCAATTCTCTTTTGATAATATCGTCTTCAGCGTAGTATAGATTCGTTTCCATTTTCCAAAATTGTCTCACGATGAATTAAATGCGGAAAAAACTATTCCCGCTCACCTCACGTTAATTCTATTAAAAATTATCCTGCGTGACTTTGTACCTTTAAATATCGTCTGGCAATTGTTTGGAATGTTCAATGCTTTTATAGTCAAGTATCAATTTAAAGCGTTTTGATTGTTTTTTATGGTTTAAATAAGCGATAAGCTATAGTATTATTTATGATTTATATGAAACCGGTTTAAACCAGTTTAGACCGACTGAAACCAGTCCCTCTTTTCTTTATAGTTTTGCATCCCAAATTTCTCTATTCTTTATATTTTTGAACCCTATATTTCTCTATTATTTTAATTGCGAACTCCATATTTCTGTATTCTTTATATTTTTGCCTCGCATATTTCTCTTTTCTTTATGATTTTTGTCCATATTTCTCTGTTCTTTAATAAATAAAAAAAAAATGCCCATTATTCTCTATTCTTTGTTGTTTTTTTTTCTTTTTTTACCATTATTTTCTATTCTATCTGTAAACCCCTTCAACACACTGTATACAAATATAGATTGATCAAATACAATACGCATGCATTTTTGAAGATAATTACGACTGCGGGCATTTCAAATATATATGTCAAATAATATACACGTCTAATATTATTGCAAACTACATGAATATAAAAATAAACTTGAACATATAATAAATACAAAGTATGGAATGCCGGAGAACAATATTGAGACACAACTCCTCTTTTTTTTATTACTATTATGTATCTTTGTTATCCTTTCATATGGATTTTTCTACCTTTAACAAATTTTCAGTCATTAGGTTAAATATTTTCCTCATGAAATATAAAAACTAATCCTGAAACACTAATTGCCTTTCTGACGCACTTATCTTTCATATGGACGCGTTTGGGTAAAGGATTAGTCTCTTGGGACTATTAAAATATCATTCACGGTAGGCAGATATAAAAAGATAAACACGTGTGGTTTAATTAAGACTTTAAATTATTTATAATCAATTACCTATGTTCCTTAAATAATTGTAAGTACAAAGATGTATAAAATAACTTATATAAGTAATATTTTTGTCATTATTTTTAAAGTAACCTTTTATCTCTATACTCCTCTCAAATATAGTAAATTCCCTATTTTATATACTAAAATGATATAAAAAGTCATGATCTGTTGGAAGTGGAACATTTAAAAAGTTTTTCTGTAAGTCAGTTTCTTAAATTTCCTCCATCCCCTGTCAGTTATTCGCGTTAATTGTTTAAAAACAATTCTTATGTTCGTAAATTATAAACAGTTGAAATAGAATATGTCTGCATACATATACTTTGTGAAGAGATCTCATGTTTTTTAATGACCAGACGTGCTTCATGCTTTTAGTTAATCATTTGGGGTAAAATTTTAATCATGACTATATGATATTAATTAAGTGGTTCAAAGAAGTCGGAAAGCAATAATACTGAATGTTTCACGGTTGTCATGTTTATAAGATAGGAAATTATATTAAAAAAAAGATAAGTATTTTATGTCTCAGACGATATTTCTATAATTTGCTTATGTTTGTTAATTAGGATTAGATGAAATAGATTAGTACACATCTGCATACATGATATTGAAAGAAAACGTATAAGGATATCATATCTAAACCACCAAGTGTGCTTTATCCCTTTATCTAATTATTTGGGGTGTCATTTTAATCAGGACCATATGATATTAATTAAGTGGTTAAAAGAAATCGAAAAGCAATTATACTGAATGTTTTACGATTGTCATGTTTATAAGATAAGAAATCGAAAAACTAAAAAAAAGATAAACGTTTTAATTATCTTTAAACGTGCATCTATTCATAATACCGCCTACTGGATTGATTGACAGTTTATCTAATTAACTGATTAAATATAAATAGTATATCTTGGAGAATTCTTACAGTTATTATAAGCATGTCTTATTGGTTATTTGTTTAAGTGGTATCAATTTTATTGAAGTCTACTCTGAACTGTTTCCATGCAAGGCTTGTTCTGGGACGAAGACACTGTTAATGTGGAAATTGTTCCTTTTCAGAATTATCACAGATTTATTATCCAGGGGTTGGGTTTAAAGGGTTAGCGTTTAGAAAATAAGAATTCGCATCCACTTTCAAGAATGTAACGTCACTGATAGTGTCCACCTTGGAGGGTAGCCTGGTCCAACAATAGGGTATGGCATCCCGATTTAAGGGACAAATATGGCGTCGGCGTCCGTGTTCAGGGTTTGGGCCCAAATATGGCGTCGGCGTCTCGATATCAGGGTCACATGGTCCAACCCTAAGTTCGCGTCCCGATTTCAGGGCCATAAATGGCGTCCGCGTCCAGGCAAAAATATGACGTCGGCATCCCGATGTCAGATTCAATTGGTCCAACGCTAAGTTCGCGTCCCGATTTAAGGTTCAAATATGGCGTTGGCGTCTAGACTTAAATATGGCGTTGGCGTCCAGACCCAAATATGGCGTCGGCGTGCCTATTTCAGGGTCTTATATGGCGTCGGCGTCCAGGTCCGAGTCACATGGTCCAATCTTAGGTTCGCGTCCCAATTTCAGGTCCAAATATGGCGTCGGCGTCCGACGTCCACCTTTATGGGGCTCGTACTGCTCGCTCTATATTACTATGAGTGCCAATGAGACAACTCTCCATCATATCTGTTATATTGTTTTTTTGTAAATTGTTTCGGTATAAATTAGGCCGTTAATTTTCTCAATTGAATTGTTTCATATTTTTTATGTTGGGGAGTTGTCTAGCCGACTATACGGTATTGTTTGCTTTTTTTTTGTCATCGTTGAAGGCCGTACGGTTGCTTATAGTTGCTTACATACACTGCATTTGAACTTTAGTGGATAAACATCTCATTAGCAATCACATCACATCTCCTTATTTTTATACATAAAAAGTTACGGTACATTTGTTTCTTAAGGCCTGTATGAGTTACATCCCAATTGGATTCAGTTTATGATATTTGTAACAAAAAAAAAGTGTTTACAATGAATCATAACAGTGTTATTAACTCTTCGACACATAAAGAATAAATGTCAAAAAGGTCCTTTAAACATATTTAACATTGAAGATGCCTTATCGAGATTTTTAGTTTACAACATTTTGATAAAACCTGGATATATGTATACACCTAATCTACATAGTTATGGTCATGCAATGTTTTGTTACAATGTGATAAAAGTCAATTTGACATTTTTCTCTTGCGTTCCATAATTTTTCATATGTTTCTCTAGTGTATGTTTTATAACCATAGATTTTCGGAATAGCCATGTTTTGAGTGTATTTATATCGATTTCACTTGATTCCTTTATTGATGAAGACAATCCGAAATAATGGACAACAATCGACTAAAAAAATGTATAGTCTGCAATTAAATGTTATTCTTTTTATACGTGCGTTGGTTTTGACTCAGACATAAACCAGGAATTTCAGGCTAGGGTTATTAAATGGAAAGGAAATACACTCATTTCAGCCATTTCATACTTCGCATTGACGCAATGTATTTTTTTTTATTTTAGTCATATTGGTAGTGGTGATATATGATAGTGAGTATGATAACATATATTCATAGTTTAAATCTTCTGTTAGTATACATGGTCTGTTTGAGGTCCCGGGCGAAAAGGGCATATCGGTATTTAGACATTTAAGAAACATGATCGGAACAAAAAACACATAATAAATGTTTAATATATAGATAATGCATGTTTTAAGGTTTTTCCTGTCGTAAAGCACACCGAGGAGTGTCAGGATTGATCAAATGAAAGACCGAACGTATGTTCTGTGTAATATGGATTATCTTCCTTACATACTGTCAAAAAATATTACATTTCCAAAAGATTTGAAGGACATTGATTCTCATATTACCGTTCACATTAAATTTGGATATTTGTTTCTGATCAGTTTAGTATTACGCCCACAAAAACAATTATAAGGCGAAATAAAATCACTGCTGAAGGTCGAGAAATTTGTTATCTGTTAAATTTCTACATAAGAAAATGTAGAATTTTCCTTTTAGAATTTTCCTTTCAGAATTTTCCTCGGAGTTCAGTATTTTTGTGATTTTACTTTTTTTTTATAACAGCAAAGTGCAAAAAAGATGTTATAAAATGAAAATGAATTAGAAATATAATCCCATAATATAAATATACACATTAGTAATAACTGCCCAACTTCATCGAAATTATTAATGTAATTACCTGCAGCAAGAAAACATTATCATGGCGCATGGAAAGTATTCGTCACTTTAGTAAGGAAGTTCTAATTTTAACTTTTCTTAAAAGGCGGTGCTTTGTTTTTTTTTTTTCTCTTGTTTAAATGCAATTTCGACCGCAGAAAAGCAGATTATTTATTCAAGAATTATGCAGAAAAATTGTTATCTCTTTTCTGGTAATATAGTTCTTTCTTTAAAAATGAAGAGAGAATACGGTAAATTCACCCTTGCAAATCTAGTAAAGGGCCTGCTCTATAGAAATAAGGATATATTGCAATTTGATAGTGAAAAAAATCAAAACTTGCACGAAGAGAGCACAAAATCTGAATGTAAAAAGTAAAATAACAAAAATCCCGAACTCCGAGGAAAATTCAAAACGGAAAGTCCCTAATCAAATGGCAAAATCAAAAGCTCAAACACATCAATTGAATGTAACAAAAAAAACGCAGACATTCGTTGGTCATAGTTCTTTCAATACGGTGTAAATCAGCAAGATTGTAGACTTATGTTTTCTTTTAATAATCCTTCACATAAAGCTTGGCTTGTTTTAAACGTTATCCGTATTGTAGCGATGAATTAACAAAACCTCACACTATGTGTTTCGATTATTCAACTCTGCGTTAACAATGTTATTTGGTACATCACTATGAAATAACAATGACCTTACACACGTCAATATTTAATTTTATGTCTTGAAGCACATTTTATTGAAACTTCGTATCGTCCAGGTTAATTATTCAAAAGAAAAACTTATCGTTCTTAAAGGAAATGACTCCATATAGTTATATAAGAATACTAAGCAAGAAATGGACGATGAAATTCAAAGCAACACATGGAGTGTACTGATCTACATGAGCAAATTAACAAGAACAATAAACATAAAAAGTGTTTTGAAATATTAACTTAATAAGATTGTACTACATTTGTTTTTGACGTAATTATACTAGAGACTGCTGACTCTTATCGATGGGGAAGCAAAAACAATATAAATGTCTGAAAGCATCAGCTTTTTTTAATCATAAGCTAAATCAGTATATACAAAACTTTGAATGCTGTAACAGTAAAATATCATAATTTAAAACTGAACTATAACCAAGATATATCAAATAAGATATATTTGGTAGGTTAAATATTACTTTAATATACAATTCTTAATCTAAATCTTAAATCTGGTTTTTCTACAGGAAAAAGTAAACATGGAAAACAGAATACAAAAGGTGAAATAAGTCTACATAATAATTTTGAAAACAACCCTCTTCTCGATGCATGTCAAAAAGGAGATATATCAATAGTAGCCCGTCTTATTGAGAGAGGTGCTGACATTAACACTACCGACGAGGATGGCAACACGCCATTGTCATTGTCCTGTAAATATGGCAAAATTGATATAGTAAACTTACTGATAGATAAAGGTTGTGATATACATAAACCTGACAATAATGGAAGGACACCTCTAATGAATGCTTGTTTTCTAGAAGATATGTCAATAGTTGCCCGTCTTATTGAGAGAGGTGCTGACATTAACACTACCGACGAGGATGGCAACACGCCATTGTCATTGTCCTGTGAATATGATAACCTTGTTATAGTAAACTTACTGATAGATAAAGGTTGTGATATAAATAAACCTGGCAATAATGGGATGACACCTCTAATGATGGCTTGTTTTCGAGGATATCTGCCGGTAGTAGACCGTCTTATTGAGAGAGGTGCTGACATTAACACTACCGACGAGGATGGCAACACGCCATTGTCATTGTCCTTTGAATATGATAACCTTGTTATAGTAAACTTACTGATAGATAAAGGTTGTGATATACATAAACCTGACAATAATGGAAGGACACCTCTAATGAATGCTTGTTGTCGAGGACATATGTCAATAGTAGCCCGTCTTATTGAGAGAGGTGCTGACATTAACACTACCGACGAGGATGGCAACACGCCATTGTCATTGTCCTGTAAATATGGCAAAATTGATATAGTAAACTTACTGATAGATAAAGGTTGTGATATACATAAACCTGACAATAATGGAAGGACACCTCTAATGAATGCTTGTTTTCTAGAAGATATGTCAATAGTTGCCCGTCTTATTGAGAGAGGTGCTGACATTAACACTACCGACGAGGATGGCAACACGCCATTGTCATTGTCCTTTGAATATGATAACCTTGTTATAGTAAACTTACTGATAGATAAAGGTTGTGATATAAATAAACCTGGCAATTATGGGATGACACCTCTAATGATGGCTTGTTTTCGAGGATATCTGCCGGTAGTAGACCGTCTTATTGAGAGAGGTGCTGACATTAACACTACCGACGAGGATGGCAACACGCCATTGTCATTGTCCTTTGAATATGATAACCTTGTTATAGTAAACTTACTGATAGATAAAGGTTGTGATATAAATAAACCTGGCAATTATGGGATGACACCTCTAATGATGGCTTGTTTTCGAGGATATCTGCCGATAGTAGACCGTTTTATTGAGAGAGGTGCTGACATTAACACTACCGACGAGGATGGCAACACGCCATTGTCATTGTCCTGTCAATATGATAACCTTGTTATAGTAAACTTACTGATAGATAAAGGTTGTGATATAAATAAACCTGGCAATAATGGGATGACACCTCTAATGATGGCTTGTTTTCGAGGATATCTGCCGGTAGTAGACCGTCTTATTGAGAGAGGTGCTGACATTAACACCACCGACAAGAATGGAGAAACCTCATTTACATGGGCCTCGAAAGGTTGTAACAATGATATAGTTAACCTACTTTTGGATAAAGTTTCTGATGAACATAAACCTAACGATGTTGGAAAATCACCACTTACGGAAGGTTGTGATAACAAAGATATGGTAATAGATGACGGCCCTGATATACAAACACAAGAACAGAATGTGGCAGGTATGTAGCAAACATTAGCGTAATTGTGAACTATTTCAAAATCATAATTCGAAATTTATTTAGTCCATTATGATATTATTATTGTGTTTGCATTTGGTATACTGATTATATAATTAGCAAATTTAGAGAAAAAAAAATATATATAGAAGCATTTGATTTGTTTCAAATTAAATAAAATAAATCCTCTTTTATGATCTTATAATACTAGATTGTTTTTTAGAGTTAAATCTTTAATTTTACACCCCAGTTCTATTGTTATACTTCATAGTTTCTATTTCTGAAACAAGTGTAGATTGAATAGATCTATTGTTACGAATAACAATGGATTTTGACCACAGGGTGTGACGAGCGGGGTTTCTGGAAACCCCTGCTTCTACATCCCGAAAACACAGTCCATTGTTATTCATAACAATAGAAATTGAAATAGTATAAACATAAGAAAATACTACAAGTTTCGAGATATTAAAAAAACACATTTTAGGAAATTCCAATAACGAAACAAATATTAAGCATCTATTTTGAATAGCAAATTTGCAAAAAAAAAAGGCAGGATGACAATTCATGTAAAGAAAGTAAGGATAAACTAATAAAATAAAAAAAGGACCGAATAGAGTGAAAAATAAAAAGGCAGGACAGAGATTACAACTTAAAAAAATGCAGGACAAAATTTTTCATCCTATCCCTCCTTAAAAAACGGGGATTCTAACTCCCGAAGCCCCCTGGATTACCCCCAAAAAGGGAGTTCCTTAATATTAAATATAATAGTCTTATACCCGTCCATATTGACAACTGCATACAAGGAGCATGATGTTTTTTTTTTTTGTAATAAGAATGCACGAAACGGTTAACCTTGGCCTGCTAATCCATATTAGCACAATGATTTAACGGGAATATGCAAAACAGCAACTTTGACATTTGTAAAATCTACTCACTAGTCAAAGTTTGAACGAAGATAGCCATGTAAGGTTACTAGTGGGGTTTCATGTAAAACAAAAAGATTTTTCTTATAAATCATGGTTTGGTATTGTCAACAAATATGCTATCCGTTCTTTTTCATTTATTAATCAATGTTAACAAATATAGGGTTTAGCATCGGGTGTAAGTTAGTTATACACCTTGGGATACGGCGTGTCTGGATAAGAAACCCCTCCAGCCTCCGGCCGTCGGGGTTTCTTATCCAGACACACCTATCCCTCGGTGTATAACTATGACAGAAATACTTATGCATACAACAAATCAAAACCTTGATGAAACTTTTTCTGCTCTCTGACTTATCGAAATTAGATTAAGTGTATATACGCATTTTACAAAATTAATTATCGGTGTCCAAATTGCGGTAAAAACTGCAATTTTATACTAGAAAAATCACAAAATTTAAGAAATATCTTTTTGTTTTCGAATTTATATACATTTCAGAATTAATTCCCGGTGTAAAAAAAAATATTCGTTGGCTACCTTTTTTGAAATGGCTGTCTTAGGCTTACATTTATAAGACTCAATATGTGTATATGGTTGTCTCCCATAACCGGTTTTAGCATTTCAATCGGGTAGTTATAAAAGTATTTTAATTAGCTGTCAAATTCATTTTCACCGATTTGGCTCAAATTCTCATGTTTGATTTATAACATATATACTAAAACGTCTATTCAAATAACAATAAGTTTGAAATAAACAGTTAACAATGCATGTATTTGATAATATATATCAGCATTTCGTGTGTATTTTAGTCTGGACGCCATCTAATTAACTATCGAGGTGACCTTCGAAGACTGCCGACGGTCACATAACCCTGTATAAACATAAACATAAATGTAAATAGATAGCGACCTCGTGCAATTAGACTTGATCTGTTTGATTCAATGTTTTTATGTAAGAGAATGAGTGGTTGCTGGAGGTTTTATGATGAAAACATAGCTGGCCTTGATTTTTGACTGAAATGAAATTAATTACACAGTTGGCAAGAGTTAAAAAAAAAATGGCACACATGTTGCACATTAGATAATTTTCCAAACCTTTTTTTTTTATTAACAAATTTATCCAAGCATCCCCTCCCCTTTAGATCAAAGGGCTACTTCCTTATCAAAACATTGACATCCAACGGATTTAGTGTAAAGAAGTCATTAACATTCAGAGAAAACATGACCTTGTGCAATACCAAATTAAAAAAAAAAACAATAACTTTGAATTACATGTAACTATTTAAAATAAGGCATAGGACAAAATAAATAAAAAAAAATATACGAATCAACGAATTGAGTAACTGAAGGGAAACTAAAAAAATCTTTTTAATCTTTGACCTAAAGTCGATGAACAGATCTTAAATGGCCGCAGCCCCAATTGAACAGAATCGCGAATGATAATCTTTTAAACGTCTTACCGTTTGTATTTTCTTCAGTTCTGACGAAAAGGACTTGTATTGACCGAAATAACCGTTTGAGACTAAATGCATTCTGCTTGCGTATGTGTCCATATGACACCATGTCTGGCTTGCACCATCATATTTCAGTGTTCAATAAATTGCAAATCTTTCTCAAAACCGAAGTTTTTCTAAAGTACTATCATAAGAACAGGTACTTTAAATTGAATTAGGACAGTAGTTTGACGAAGTACAAACCACAGAAATCGCTAGAGAAAACAAATCAAAGGAAAAAAAACGAAACCTTCATGGTCAACTACCTGAATAAAAACACTATGTTGATACGGAACGGACGAAAAACTGACTAATATAAGTGAGGAGGTGTAGATTAGGACGATAGTAGTTTATCGATCTTACAATCTAACAAATCGATAAGGAAGGGACAATAAAGGTAAATAACAAAACAACGAAGAATTCGCATAGACTAAACAAGGAGCTAGACTGGGTAAACGTCTCCTTCTGTGCTTGTATAATTCGCCATGAAAATTCGCATACAGTCAAAATATCACAATCTAGAAGAGAACAAAACCAGTACAATTAGATAAGACGACTTTTCTATGAGTTTGATTGTCCCTCTGGTATCTTTCGTCCCTTTTTTTACTGGTATATAAAGATGTAAAACAGCGAAAACATGTCGTTAGTGAGTTAAGACAACGATACTTTGTATTGGTGAACCAATTCGTGATAGTGAGCGTAAAACTTATGAAGTGTCGATTTTTGTCGTTCTTCCTTGTAACTCCGTTTAGGCAGTTTATGTGTAGGCAGCTCACCGATGTAAATGAATTTCGTAAAGCGTAAATTGGTACGAGTGTAACGTATTTTCTGAGATATCTAAAAATCATAAGATGGAACAGAGGGTACAGTATTACTGCTGTTGAAATCATCACGATTTGTCATATATTCTAGTCTGAAGTCGTCCATCTGTATAAATATCAATGAAACGATCCAGATATAAACCGTACCTTTTACTTTCGGTTAAATTTTGATTATTGGTTGAGAGATCATCTGAAAGTGAAATGTAAGAACTTCGCAAGATACTTTTTCTTTTTGTCTTTGAGGAAGTTCTGTTTAAATTCTGCTTCATATGAGTACAAGATCAAATCCGCAGTAGTGTTGCACAATTAGTATTCATTGAAATACCGACTGTCTTTTGAAATATCAATCAACCAAACTCAACAAATATATTGTCAATCAAAAAGTTCATCATTCTGATGATATTTTCGGTGTATTTGTTTTTCGAATCAGTGCGGTTCTTCATAAAGTGAAAATTTTCATGACCTTAAGCAAGGAATTTGTATCTCATTTTTCCATTTTTGCAGAAAATGGCTTTGTTTAATCAGAAAATGTGATCGACCTTGTAATTGAACATGCGTAGCAGCCGTGTAAAGCGTAGGAAAATAAAGGTTTTGATATTACTGCAAAATATATAGACTGGAAAATATAATGCCTCCAGTCATCTTTGAAGGCGCTCTATGCAAAACAAAATTCCAGATTATTGTTTATAAATAAGTAGATATGTTGACCCTTGAGTTTTCAATGCTATTTTCTGGTGTCATAAAGTTGATCTTTCAATGAAAATTACCAAGTATTAACGTGTATTAAAAAAACAAAAAAAAAACACTCATATAGTAAAGATTGCGATTTCTCTCTTTCAGAAATAAGTATAGAGTTTCCATGGCTTGGCAATTCTGATGGATTACTTAGCATGCTTGCTTTGGGCTATTTCAAGAGTTACGAGAACAATTTATGTCTAGCAGGTCCCTGTAAGGCTGGAAAAAGTACATTAGCTAGTGTACTCATTGATGACGAAATTCCCCTCCAGTATAAATCAACAGACGGACTAGTTATATTCTTTGGCAGGAATGGAATAGATTTAGATAGCAAAATTATGGTTCCGCTGACAGAAGGTAATTTTGAGTTTGTCTAATTGACAACATCACAATAACAGCTGTTATAATTATTTTTCTTGTTGTTCATGCTTGTCGCTTTTTTGTTCTTGTTATTTTTTGTTATTTTTTTTTTTTTGTTATTTTTTTTTTTTTTGGGGGGGGGGGGGTAGGGCTTTCGTTATTAAAAAACGCCCAATCTTTTAAAGACAACATCATCTGCATATATGAAGCAAGTGAATTCGTTTTGGTTTTTTTTTCAATTCAGTGTTAAAAGGCTATGTTGTGTGTCATTTATAATGTCGGAGCAGATTAAACAAGGTTATGTCAAAGAATGTCTCGTCCTTTTTTTAACTGTCATGCTTGTCATATTTATTTTTCGTTAAACAAATCTGTTATAAATTAGGCCGTTAGTGTTCTCAATTGAATTTATTTTCTTCATGTGGGGCCCTTTTATAGAAAAGGAAATGGTATGCGTTTTTCTCATTGTTGAAGGCCGTATGGTTGCCTATAATTGCTTACATCCACTATATATAATCAACTATATATCAATTGATTACATTCATTATTTAAAAAAGTGCAATGGCGATAGTTAAAGTGTTGTTCTATATTATTATCAAAACATAATGATTTATGAACGAACTATAAAAATCAGTTGTGAAGGGCTTAACTCATCAGATCGAGTTAAGCCCTTCACAACTGAATTTTATAGTTTGTTCATATATTGTGCTGTCACACTTCTGTCCCAAGATAGGGGAAGGGTGGGCGCTCGCAAACTTGTTTAAACCCGCCATATTCTATATGTACCTGTTTCAAGTTTAGAGCCTGTAATTTAGTGGTTGTTGTTTGTTGCTCTATCTCATATTTGTATTTCTTTCATTGTTCATTTTTTTTGTACATAAATCAGGCCGTTAGTTTTCATGTTTGAATTGTTTTACATTTGTCATTTCGATGCCTTTTATAGCTGACTATGCGGTATGGGTTTAGCTCATTGTTAAGGACCGTACGGTGACCTATAGTTGTTAACTTCTATGTCATTTGTCTCTGGTGGAGAGTTGTCTCATTGAAAATCATACCACATCTTCTTATTTCTATATTAACTCAAAAGCCAAAAACTCCTAATACTTACGAAATAAGCGGATAGTACTCCACTTATGATAAGGCCCTAATAAAGACACTTACCTACCATTAAAAGGAATAGAAGTATGCTCAACTACAAGAATGATAATGATCATTATGAATTATTGTTGCATCATAAAATACCAAAGGAACATTCAAACGCATACGTCATAAAATAAACCGACAACGCAATGTCAAAGAAAAAAAAAAACCCTTAGCAACACAAACCCCATCAAAACCCGGGGGTCATCCTAGGTGTCATAACTTATACCTTCTCAAAAAGTGAAATAGCAAAAATACCGAACTCCAAGGAAAATTCATAACGAAAAGTCCTTTATTAAATAGCAAAATCAAAGGAGCAAACACACCAAGCGAGTGGAAAACAACTGTCATATTCCTGACTTGGTACATGCATCTCCTATGTTGAAAAGGGTGGATAAAACCTGGTTTTATAGCAAGCTAGACCTCTCAATTGTATGACAGTCGCATAGTAATCTATTATATAACAACAATGTGTGAGCAAAACAAACAGACATAATAGGTAAAATTGTCACAAATTGGTATGTTATGTTCCTACATTGTCTGCCCACAACAGCTCAAAATTAGTCTAGTGATGATATGGACTGTTAGAGAAAATAACTTAACAATCAAATCTTCACTACTTACAATTCATTTTTGAATGACACATTATGATGTGTACATCTTAAATTCTTTTGAAATCATATGCATCTACATTATCTTTATCTTTAACGGCTGCATTTTTCAATATGTATGGCTGTAGAGTCTAGCATTGTTTATGTTTTTCTTATTAAGATAAAAAAAAAATATAGAATAAATACTGACCTCGATGGCAAATTCAAAAGGGGAAGTCCATAAAAACTGACAAAATCAAATGGTATCAACCAAAGGAACGAGTGGAAAAAAAAACCTGTCATATCCTTGCCTTAATACCTGTAATTTCCGAAGAGGAATGCGGATTAAACCTAGCTAGCTAAACCTCCAACTGGTGTGCCAGTTGTTTATAGTTCAGGTATATTGACAAAATATGACGTGTAACCCAAACAGATTGAGCAGCCAAAACTGTGTAAACATACATCACCGACATACAATTCAACTAACTAAAATATTTAACCAAACATACAAATAAAAGTAACACGGACGCCAACAAAATGGTTGATGGAGTTGATAATAAATTTGACTAGGACGAATCGTACATCAACACCAAAATGCAACAGGAATTCTCATAGTCAAAAACCCGATAGCGAGATGTATGAATACCGAGTCACATCCAAAGTCATACGACTAAACCGAAACATAGTAGCAGGAAGACAAATAAAGTAAAAACTGTAAAGTAAATAAAAAAATACACAACACAATAAAAGTTTATATGTGTATTGTATTGGTGCTAGTTGTCCAAATCACTGCAAATTAAAACAGGAGAACAACAGTGTAAGCTTGCTAACATATAAATTAAAAAAAAAAACATTATTTGTGTTATTACAGGAGATAGAGGACATTCTGTCGTTGATAGAGTTCTTCGTGGACATCCTACATTAGATCTTAACAGTAATGATGAAAGCCGAATTGAAACATTGTCCAGGCAGAAACGGTCACCGATATTAGGACAAACGGAACATGCATCACCAGCAAAAGAGGAGATGCAAAATGAAAATCTAAAATCTGAAATTTCTAAACACGAACACACTTCCGAAAAGTCATCTATTGTGTATACTGAAGCACAATATTCAAGTAGTCAAACACAGAGGGAAAACATATCGCCAGTTCATGAAATGTCGAAGCTAAAATATTATACCATTCATGATGATATACTTAATGAAGTTAGAGATGGTCGATATAAAATTAGTATAGCACCATCCGATCTGATAGACTTTGGTGGACAAAGGTCGTACGATATGACTCATCAACTTTTTATACACCATAGTGGTTCTTTCGTGCTGATGTTTGACGGACTGATTGGCCTAGACACTCCTTTGCAAGAGTACCCAAATGGAAAAACTACCGCTGCATGCAAGTATTTTTTAACAATTGTAGGCATTATATAAATATAACGATTGAATTTAAGAAAGTTTGAAATTTACAATCAAAACGTCAAATAAAGTCATTAGTTTCATCCTAGAATCATATTATCAAACATAATTAAATAAACTCTTTTCGAATTTAACCAGACATACATTTGTCAAGTATTTACATCTTGTATTTTGTCGTCCAGATTTGTGTTTTTAAGTTTCAAAAGCTACAAAAGTTACAAAATGCAAAAACTGTTAAAATTGCTTCATTTTGAAGTTATCTCTTTAATATTCAGCCATACATATATTTTTACATTATATCATACAACATTATATATATCAAACAATATTTTGATACAATTTAATTACGTCTTCTGATTTGCTGAAATTATTATCTATCAGCTCTTACACACAATGTTGTCGTGTGACCGTGACGTCATCAACGTTTTTCTGGCGCCATCACGAGTTGGTTGATTGTTATGGAATATCCGTTTCACAGATGTCAACGGAAGTGTTCAAATTTTTGTAACTACAATTCCGTCCCCTTTTCCCCGAATGTGACCTACCGAATTAGACTTTTCACCGGGTTTGTACTTAATTGAGCAAAAAGACGGGTGACAAATGTGGATCAGGATCTGCTTACACTTCCAGAACACCTAAGATCACTGCCAGTTTTTGGTTGGGTTCGTGTTGCTTAGTCTTTGGTTTTCTATGTTATGTTTTGTGTACTATTATTTGTCTGTTTGTCTTTTGTTTTATTTTTAGCCATGGCGTTGTCAGTTTATTTTCGACTTATGTTTTGTTTCGTACTGTTGTTTGTTTATCTTGTTCTTAATAGCACTATCCACATGGAACAAAGGACAAGCGTTTTTACTTAAAATATAAATTTCGAACATTAATTTTGGTTAAAGGTGAAATTAAACCGTGACTAAAACTTACAGCTTCATTTGAATTTTGATGAAAATTAGGATTTATAATTTGAGTAAAAATGAAGATCTAATTACCTAATTTTTATCTAATTGTTTAGTGCTTATTGAATAAAGGAATGGTCAGTTTAATAAATATTCAAAAAGAATAATGTTTATCTGTAGTAATGATTCAATAAAGAAGGTTTATGCCAAAACAAAAATGTAATAAACAAAAATAATTGATGGTAAAATACATATAATCAGAAATGAAAGGGTTTCTAAATCCAGCAAGTAAAAGATTTTGAAATATACTAGTCAACCAAAGAAACGATACAAGGCAATGTATTTTCCATATATAATGAAATTGGATACACTTGTATACACTTGTATACCAAGGTAAATAATTGCCCAACTGGTCTAATATTTACACACAGAGAGTTATTTTCTTATCAAAACTATTGATTTAAGGCAAATACGTGATTTTATTTTTTTGCAATTTTTTTTATTTCAAAAATCGTATTTTCACCCAAAAATTCAAAAATCGATATAAAAACTTAAAACTTTAAACTAAAACATGGTCTGCTTAAAATTTTGAATTACTTTGCAGATATTTGAATACTTAATTCTCTTCGAAATTAGGTGCCGACTTTTGTCATCATTTTCCGCAAAATAAATTTGACCCCAGTGTTCAATAACACGGTATTTTCTCACTTTCAAATTTGGTCAGATTCTTTTTATCATATGCATTTGCTTTGCAAATGAATGTTTTTCATTGGATAATTCAACAGTTTTTCCTAATTATTATATTTTATGATCAATTGGAGTTCAAACTCGTGTATCGTTCCTTTTGTTGACTAGTATATATAAAAAGTAAAATCACAAAAATACTGAACTCCGAGGAAAATTCAATCGGAAAGTCCCTAATCACATGGCAAAATCAAATGACAAAACACATCAAACGAATGGACAACAACTGTCATATTCCTGACTTGGTACAGGTATTTTCAAATATAGAAAATGGTGGATTGAACCTGGTTTTATAGCGCTAAACCTCTCACTTGTACGACAGTTGCATCAAATTTAATAATATTGATAATGATGCGTGAACAAAACAAACAGACACAATAGGTAAAAATGTCACAAATAAAGGTAAGAAGTCTTATTCGGTAGGTCACATTCAGGAAAAGGGAACGGGATTGCAGTTACGACATAAGGAACATATCTAATATCATCTATATAACAGATATTCCATAACGGTCAACCAACTCGTGATGGCGTCCGTAAAATTAACGAAGTGATGATTTCAGCTTCCCAATGCTTCACTATTGGGAAGCTGAAATCATCTCTTTTGTCGTAAAGTTTTGTTTTCAACCGACCCTCATTGTCAATTTCTAGATATAAATCCTAATCAAGTGGCAAAATCAAATGACAAAACACATCAAACGAAGGGATTACAACTGTCATATTCCTGACTTGGTACAGGCATTTCCTATGAAGAAAATGGTGGATTGAACCTGGTTTTATAGCGCTAAACCTCTCACTTGTACGACAGTTGCATCAAATTTAATAATATTGATAATGATGCGTGAACAAAACAAACAGACACAATAGGTAAAAATGTCACAAATAAAGGTAAGAAGTCTAATTCAGTTGGTCACATTCAGGAAAAGGGAACGGGATTGCAGTTACGACATAAGGAACATATCTAATATCATCTATATAACAGATATTCCATAACGGTCAACCAACTCGTAATGGCGTCCGTAAAATTTACGAAGTGATGATTTCAGCTTCCCAATGCTTCACTATTTGGAAGCTGAAATCATCTCTTTTGTCGTAAAGTTTTGTTTTCAACCGACCCTCATTGTCAATTTCTAGATGTAAATCCTAATCAAGTAGCAAAGTCAAGAGCTCAAACACATCAAACGAAGGGATTACAACTGTCATATTCCTGACTTGGTACAGGCATTTCCTATGTAGAAAATGGTGGATTGAACCTGGTTTTAAAGCGCTAAATATCTCACTTGTACGACAGTTGCATCAAATTTAATAATATTGATAATGATGCGTGAACAAAACAAACAGGCACAATAGGTAAAAATGTCACAAATAAAGGTAAGAAGTCTAATTCGGTAGGTCACATTCAGGAAAAGGGAACGGGATTGCAGTTACGACAGAAGGAACATATCTAATATCATCTATATAACAGATATTCCATAACGGTCAACCAACTCGTGATGGCGTCCGTACAATTTACGAAGTGATGATTTCAGCTTCCCAATGCTTCACTATTGGGAAGCTGAAATCATCTCTTTTGTCGTAAAGTTTTGTTTTCAACCAACCCTCATTGTCAATTTCTAGATATTAATCCTAATCAAGTGGCAAAATCAAATGACAAAACACATCAAACGAAGGGATTACAACTGTCATATTCCTGACTTGGTACAGGCATTTCCTATGTAGAAAATGGTGGATTGAACCTGGTTTTATAGCGCTAAACCTCTCACTTGTACGACAGTTGCATCAAATTTAATAATATTGATAATGATGCGTGAACAAAACAAACAGGCACAATAGGTAAAAATGTCACAAATAAAGGTAAGAAGTCTAATTCGGTAGGTCACATTCAGGAAAAGGGAACGGGATTGCAGTTACGACATAAGGAACATATCTAATATCATCTATATAACAGATATTCCATAACGGTCAACCAACTCGTGATGGCGTCCGTAAAATTTACGAAGTGATGATTTCAGCTTCCCAATGCTTCACTATTGGGAAGCTGAAATCATCTCTTTTGTCGTAAAGTTTTGTTTTCAACCGACCCTCATTGTCAATTTCTAGATATAAATACTAATCAAGTGGCAAAATCAAATGACAAAACACATCAAACGAAGGGATTACAACTGTCATATTCCTGACTTGGTACAGGCATTTCCTATGTAGAAAATGGTGGATTGAACCTGGTTTTATAGCGCTAAACCTCTCACTTGTACGACAGTTGCATCAAATTTAATAATATTGATAATGATGCGTGAACAAAACAAACAGGCACAATAGGTAAAAATGTCACAAATACAGGTAAGAAGTCTAATTCGGTAGGTCACATTCAGGAAAAGGGAACGGGATTGCAGTTACGACATAAGGAACATATCTAATATCATCTATATAACAGATATTCCATAACGGTCAACCAACTCGTGATGGCGTCCGTAAAATTTACGAAGTGATGATTTCAGCTTCCCAATGCTTCACTATTGAGAAGCTGAAATCATCTCTTTTGTCGTAAAGTTTTGTTTTCAACCGACCCTCATTGTCAATTTCTAGATATAAATCCTAATCAAGTGGCAAAGTCAAGAGCTCAAACACATCAAACGAAGGGATTACAACTGTCAAATTCCTGACTTGGTACAGGCATTTCCTATGTAGAAAATGGTGGATTGAACCTGGTTTTATAGCGCTAAACATCTCACTTGTACGACAGTTGCATCAAATTTAATAATATTGATAATGATGCGTGAACAAAACAAACAGACACAATAGGTAAAAATGTCACAAATAAAGGTAAGAAGTCTAATTCGGTAGGTCACATTCAGGAAAAGGGAACGGGATTGCAGTTACGGCATAAGGAACATATCTAATATCATCTATATAACAGATATTCCATAACGGTCAACCAACTCGTGATGGTGTCCGTAAAATTTACGAAGTGATGAGTTAAAAATATGTGTTTGTTCAAATTAAAACAGCATTCTTTGACGATTTTGCGTTGAGTTTCGAAAATCATATTTCTAAATTCAAAAGATTTTTTTTTTCATAAATACTGCAACAGGTTTGCAATATCAATTCACACATTTGTTAGTACGTGCTCTTCATACATGTTTATGTACTCTAAATTATTAAAGCAGATTCTTTATTTTTATTCATCATATACAACATTGGTTTCTTAGAAAACATGTATATTTTCGCATTTAATTATTTTCAAGTTTAAATAAATAGCCTATTATTCTTAAACATAGTGCCATCAGAAATATTTCCTTGTTAGCTCAACTGGCCTAAAAGTCCAAGTGAGCTTTTCTCATCACTTGGCGTCCGTCGTCAGTCGTCTTCTGTCGTCGTCGTTAACTTTTTACACTTTGAACTTTTCTAGAGAACCACAGAATGGAATGAAACCAAACATTCGTTAAAATTCCTTATGAGGTGCTGACCAAGTGTTGTTACTTTGTAGCTGATCCATCATCAAAGATGGCCGCCAAGTGGGGGACTTTGTTTAACATAGGACCCTATGGACAATACATACAAATGTCTTCTATTAGAGAACTTCTGAATGGAATGAAACCAAACATGGCATGAATGTTCCTTATGAGTGCTGACCAAGTGTTGTTACTTTGAAGCCAATCCACCATTCAAGATGGCAGCCAGAGAGGGACTTAGTCTAACATAGGACCCTATGGGTACATTCAAATGTCTTCATTTAGAGAACCACTGAATGTAATGAAATAAAACATGGCATGAATGTTCCTAATGAGGTGCTGACCAAGTGTTAATACTTAAACATGGAGCCTTAGCTCACACCGAACAGCAAGCTATAAAGGACCTCAAAATGACCTGTGTAAAACAAATTCAAACAGGAAAACAATGGTCTAATCTATTTACAAAACGAGAAATATCTATGAACTACAAAACAATTTTCAAATTATGTTTTTGCATGCGAATTTGCATACATATAACTAATTAGAGAAAAGGATACTGTACAATAGTTTTTGGAACAAAAAATTCAATTTCTCTAAATATTCTGTATCTCCTAACTCTGACTGTGATTTTTCAATATTGCATCTACTCAAATGTTACTAGCATAAAAACATTTTGTGTATAATATGAATGAAGATATTTGAATACATTTATTTTTTACAATGATATATGGTCGATTGCAAGTTCTATCAGATTCAACTGAAGAATTTAGTTTATTGTATCAAAATATCTATTAGCTAGTGCGTCCCTTTTTTCATTAATATATCCATATAGCTTCGACTGTCTATTTTAACAAATGTATTTTACATACATAACTAATATTGCATATTTGTATGTTGTTTGGAAACATGAGTAACCTACAACTCAATGGATTGAGAGTGCCGCTATAAAGTATTGCCAGATATCGGAATAAAGCTTTCTTTTGAAATTTACAGGATTCAGTTACTGTTTTACTTTTAGATATATGTTCTTTATGATTTTGAGATCTAGAAATCGGTCTACTGCTTGTGTCTCTTAATTTTAACAAATTGCCTTATATTCCAGTTTAGTTTGAATTTTTAACAAGATATTGGATCATCTTTATAACACCTTGTCCTTAGTTTTCCATTTCGCCTCAATCTCCTAGCTGGTCTCGTGGTAGCATGTTTGCCTCAAGTGCGGGAGGTTGTGGGTTCAAACACCCACTGTGTCAATCCAAATACTCTAAAATTGGCATTTGCTACTTCTCCGCTACGCACGCGGCATTAAGGAGAAAGATCAAATTCCGGTTACGTCGGATTCAGATTAATGTGTCAAGGTAGTGTGAATGTAACATGCGAACTAGCACGTTGAAAATGCGGATAAGCGGGTCGTTCTAGTAAAAAAGGGTTAATATTTATATTCAATTAACAGGTTTACGTCTTTCTTATCCATTTAATTTGCCACTGAACGTTAAACAGCCATCCATCATCATAATCATCCATTTCATTCCAATTGAAATATCACCTAGTGCTATACATGATTATATATATGTATCTGAATGTAGCATTGTACACAGTACCAGGCATACAATATGTCTTTTCATCCCTAGTCCTTAAATACAACGTTCATTATTTCAAAACATGATATTTTAACAATGTTATAACTTTGGTAGAATCTATCTGTCTTTTTTACTTATCACCCCAAGAAAAATATTGGCACCTACCAATACACTATTTAAGTCTTTAACTGCCTGGATAAAGATATCTTTTGGGTTTTTTTTCTCGAATCTTGATAGTAACGTAGGAAGATATAGCTACTATGGTTGTCTTAACTATTACAATTGACCACTCTTCTGTACAATATCATACTTATCATTGTAAAAAACGAGGTCAAACTATTCAAATTATAAGTGTGGGTTTCTTCCTGGAAGAATTTTACAGTTACAGTATAATACATATGTTCATAGATATGTTTAAAATACTTGATATTTATGGATAATTTTCGGATTCTCAATGTGATAATATTGGATGTAGTTATTCGGTTTATCTTATTTGTATCTCTGTCTATGTCGAATGAAATGATGATTTTACCATTTACAGTAATATTAAAACACTGGGTTGATTCGATTCTGACCTACGCTGAAGATACAGAAGACATCATGCCAAAGATTCTTTTTGCAGCAACACACAAGGATAGTTGTGATCAGGTAAATATTGATGATCTTCATATTGCTCAACTAACATATTATATGAACAGATGTTTTTTCATGATAGTAACATTAATATCTTCCAAAAGCTCCGAATGTAAACATTTGTACAACTTAGTAGTTATTCCTTTAGAAAAAATCCTTATGAATGATTGTAAATTAATTGTTTAAATATCATAAAAATTTTAAGTTATTTTTTAACAGAATGTTTATAAGATTAACAATAGTACAAATTGTGTGTGCTTTCATTTGTTTTGTTAAAATGGCGATTACGTTCGGTATTATAATTGGTATTGATTATACACTGCCCAAATTCGACTTTGTGGCGTTTTATTCATTGTATTTGCAAGAATATTATACACTGTAGTTCTGTGCTTCCTCCTTTCTACGGTATTCATCTTTTAAATCAAGCTAATAATTTTGGTGATTGTCGTTCAAATGTTTCTCCCTTCCGTAATAAACTTATTGATACGGGTTATAAGTGAATAGTTGTTGTTAATCACTGCCTCTGGTATCCTTCGGGTAGATATAAATTTTCGTTTTCATATTTGGCATTGGAAAATGCCATTACTTCTTGAATTGAAATGCGTTGACTGCTGTATATTCCGATGAACTTTTTTTTAGAAAAAGGACGAGACGTTCTTTGACATACCCCTGGTTCATCAACTTTCTACTCAGACAATGGTGACGTTTTACAAAGTCTGAGTAGCAGCTGCAAGCTCTTGAATAACGAATAAGTTGGGAAATAGATATCCCATATGCAGGTGAAGTTGGTATATTGCTACTAAGGTGGGGGAAATTGATAATTTCAAAAATAAAATCGTCTCGGTTGTCATAGATTCTGGTACTGAGATGACTGCGTATGTCAAATTCGAGGTATAAGTCTAAAAATGAGGCGGAGGAAGCCTTGTCTGTTATTTCTTTAATTTCTAGTTCTCGGGGATATTTCAATGGAATCCAATGAGAAACGTTTGGATTGTTAATGGAAACAACATCATCAATATATCTGAATGTGAAATTAACAATTTGGTATAAGGTCTCAAAAGGTGACGTCACAATCAAGGAAAAGAGGACAGGATTGTGGCTTTAATTTAAACGTATCATTAGCGATACAGACCTTCTACCAGGGTCAAATTATTCATAAGGCTTTAAAAAACGTAATAATGGGTATATTCAACTAAACCAAAGCTGGATTCTAAAGTTAATTTTAACAATAAAAACAATTAAGTAGTTATATATGCTCCCTCAAAGCTAATAAATGCACTCAAACTCCGTTATTGCAGTCGTTCTAATATTCAAACAAATGTTTTATATTATATATTTCATAAAATTGTTCGAGTGTTCTTTCAATTTACGCTGTATTTTGAGGGATTTATGGTTTAATATTTCAGTATTCCAACGAGTTCACATTGTGCACCCCTGCATGCAGACTTATTCTTGTATATAAATGAAGCAAAATTCATACAAAATGCAAAAAATGCTCTCAATAAATCATCAACTTTCTTACAATCTTCAATCGATGATCTTCTTAGCCTCGACATCTATTCGTGATTGTGGTCTAGGAAAGTCATATCCGTCTGTTATATTATAAACTTTCAAAAGGTCATGCGTTTATGTCCTTACACAAAATACGTTGGATGTGTATTGATTGATTATCTTGAAAACTATGATTTATTTATAAGTAGTATTTACTTTGAACTAGCTTTTATCAATTGAGATTACTTTTATATGGGTACTTTGTGTCTTCTGTTTTTATTTAGTTGGTTGTATTTGTGCTTCTAAACGATTAACTGTTTGTTCTTAAGTGTGCACTCATGTTAAGGCGGGGTTTCCAAGCTCACACAAATGATTAACCCCCAACAAATCTTGTATATGCCTGTCTGAAGTCGAGATCCTGAAATTCTATTGTTGTCGTTGGTTCATATCTTTTATTGAAACTTTTTGTAATATGTAATATTTAATTTAGGCTGTTATTTTTTTATTTTTTTTTTTTTTTGTGATTGAATTGTTTCACATTTTTCATGTTGGGGCCTTTTATATGTGACAATACGGTATGGGGTTTTCTATTTGTTGAAGGCCGTACAGTTTACCAACCATTGCTTTTATCTTCGTCCTTTGAACTATGCTGGAAAATTGTCTCATTGGCAATCATAATACATATTCTTATTTTTATATTGTCTAGAATTAACAGGTTTTTATAAAAATCTCTGGACGAAACCGTTGTGATATACTTAATCTTCTTTTTTATAATTAATATTGACCTAGGGTTCTTAAATTCTACATTGAGTTATGACAATTGTATCCTAGTCGAGCAAATATCATATTAGAATTGATATCTCTTCTTTGACATACGCGGTCATCTCAGTACCAGAATCTATGACAAACGAGACGATTTTAATTTTGAAATTATCAATTTCCCCTACCTTAGTAGCAATATATCAACTTCACCTGCATATATGATATATATTTCCCAACCTTTTCGGTATTCAAGAGCTTGCAGCTGCTACTCATACTTTGTAAAACGTCACTTGAGTCTAAGTAGAAAGTTGATGAACCAGGGGTATGTCAAAGAACGTCTCGTCCTTTTTCTAAAAAAGTTATTCGGAAGGAAGACCTTGTTGATAAATATTCCGTATCAACTTCACAAATAATACACGATGGTCTTGAAGAATAGATTCTGGGTACTTACGTTGTTTATCATCTTAATAACGTGTTATAGTATACTTTTTTTTCCTTTATGAATATTATTTTTACTGTTTAGTTTGAGTTTTTTTGTTTTTTGTTTTTTGTTTAGGTTATATCCATTTGACGTGACTTTTGCACTTATACATCCCGTCATTGTGGTATTGTGTTATGGTTAATTTTTGTATTCTCGTCTTTTGTTTTTGCTAATGTGCTTTGTCTATATTCCCTTTTGTGTTTCTTTGATACATATGACGTGGCTCTGTACTTATACATCCCGTCATTGTGTTATTGTGCTATGGTAAATTTTTGTATTCTTGTCGTTCATTTTGCTAATATGCTTTGTCTATATGCCTTTTTGTGTTTCTTTGTTACATATTTGTTTGTTTTTATAGTGGTTAAGATTATAACACAATGTTGACTGCTATACCCTAATTTTTGACATTTTTACCTATTATGTCTGTTTCTTTTGTTCACACATCGTTGTCAATATAATGGAATTTAATACGAATGTTATTCAAGTGAGAGGTTTAGCTAGCTATAAAACCAGGTTAAATCCTCTATTTTCTACACAAGAAAATGCCTGTACCAAGTCAGGAATATGACAGTTGTTATCCATTCGTTTGATGTGTTTAAGCTTTTGATTTTGCCATTTGATTACGGACTTTCCGTTTTGAATTTTCCTCGGAGTTCGGTATTTTTGTTTTTTTACTTTTTTCTTTAAAGAACTATTTTCTAGTTGATTTGATTAAAGCAAATGCTGTTTTTTTTCATGCTGATAAATATCAGAGATGAGACATTTCCTATATAGAAAGTGTTATTCGAACTTAACTTGAAATGTTTCAACTAATTCTGATTTTAAAAAAAACATGCAGTGGTATACTTAAAAAGGCAAATTCCACATTTGTGCCAGCCATACACAGTTTAAATAAAAGCAAAATATCTTTTAATAATTGTCAAACATACGTATTCGGGAAAAATCCTACATGCTTAGCATTGACAGTTCTGTCAAACCAACTGCATATTATCCCTCTTAATGTTAAGGCTAAATACTATCGATTTAAATAGTCTCGAGGATATTATGTGAACGTTAGTCCTTATCTTTGATATGAAAATAAGACTTTATAAATTCAGTGCTTCCAACGCGCTTTACCGGGATAACATTAACTAGGAACGCTTGAAAACAAATGTTTTTTTCTTCTTTTGTTTAATATGATGTATGTTATGAGAATGGGATCTATACGTATCGTAGATACTTAACTTTCTTATTTGCAGTACTGTAAGGAGTCTTTCATTTCATAAATTCTTTAACGGGTGGGATTGTGCTTGATTTTCATATGATGAAAACATAATTTTTCAATCAGTTTAATTGAAGTCTGGAGCTGGCATGTCAGTAACTGCTAGTAGTCCTTTGGTAATTTGTGTATCATTGTCATTTTGGTTAGTTTCTTTTTGTTACCTATTCTTACATCGGACTCGGGCTTCTTTTAAACTGAGTTTAAACAGGATTTTCTCGCTGTGTTGAAGACCCATTGGTGGCCTTCGGCTGTTTTCTGCTCTTTGGTCGGGTTGTTGTCTCTTTGATTTGGTTTTTCTCAATCGATATATGACTTTTGAACAGCGGTATACTACTGTTGCCTTTATTTGACATATTCCCCATTTCCATTCTCAATTTTATTTGATGTCAAGATATGCAAAACATCATAACACATGCCATGTTTAAATTCTTACACTGTTCGATACAAAGAAGTTTTATTCGAATATTCTCATCAAAGGAATGTTAATAACAAACAGGGTAGGGATAGTCGATTGGTGTTTGATATATTCTGATAATAAAAATCCTACGAGAAATAATATTATAAATTAAAAAAAGGCATAGGTCATGATTTTATTTTGATTTAATAAGATGAAGTTAACATGGGTGACAATCGTCAAGTGTCGCTTATTACTGGATCACACTTCTAGTTTGTGGAAAGAATATTGTTTGCTCTATTGCTATTTTGACTGTTCATGTTTTCTAAAATTATTTTGACAAGAATACATAGTTTTCTTTATTAATTTACTTTTAGTTCTATATCCTTTCAGTCAAAGCTTTTGGCGCTGAAAACCAAATTTATCGAAACTGTTCAGCAGATGTTCTCTACATACGAGAAAAAAAGCCACATGGTTCTCGAGACCGTGTATTTTATTGATGCGCGAGATCCCAAAGACCATGAAATAAAGGAAATGACTGATAAGGTTGTTTGTTTTGCAATGCAACAGTCTACATGGGGTAAATGGCGACCAATGCTATGGGTACCACTGGAAATACAAATTTCGAACATGAGATTGAAGAGCATTAATTTGATTAACAAAGGACAGCTTGAACAAGTGAACAAGCTGAATGGTGATCTAGCCTTAGACGAGGACCAGTTGGTATATTTCTTATTAGCTCATCATTCGCTAGGTAAACTGATATACTACGATCTACCGGGTTTAAACCAGTTTATAGTCATTCATCCGCCTGCATTAGTTAACATTCTTAGAGCGTTTATCACCGATGACATGTTTTGGTCAGAAGAAACAAATCTCCAAAAAATTTTGCAAACATTGAGAAAATCTGGAAAAATCTACAAAAAGGATCTTCTACTTCTATGGGAACAACATGAATGTCAACAATACATTAAAGATAATAAGACAAAAGACTTTCTTATATGCTTATTTGCTCACTTGGATATTCTTGTAGTCCCAAAAGGAATAAATCGAAGTCCTCCCGCTGCAGACTTTTATCTTGTTCCATGTATGGTAAATGCAGATTGTCCGGTTGACTTTATAGACTTTCATGAATTAAGTAATAAAACAATATGCTTAATATATTCGTTATCCATGCAATCCATTCCTACTTCTCTTGCTTACAAAATCATTGGAGGAGCAGCAGGTATTTGGCCTTTTAAGGAGGATGAAGACGGAAAACCATGTCTTTATCAAAAGGCTGCAATCTTGCATGCAGGTGACGACATGGAACTACGTGTGCATTTAGAAGACAAACGTATTATGGTTTATCTATCAAATAAGGAAACTATAGATTACATTTCACCTGATATTGCAGCAAGCATACAGGAATGTCTGACACAAACTCTTGAGTCGTCTCTACTGTTTTACTATAACAGCTTTGGAAAGAAAAAAACGCAAACTGATGTGAAGAAGTTGTTTGAGTTAAGTGGTGGTTTGCTTTGCAATAACAGTGTTTGCCACTTAGCTTTATCCGAGGCAAAATATTCGGTTTCTTGGAAATGCAGCCATAGATTGGAACATGATAGAAAGTACTTATTAAAATGGTATTTTGATAAAGTAAGTTCTTATTTGTGATTCAACTGATACTTCGTTGTCCAGGCATGCGGCATAGAATAAATAATGGTCTGCAATTAATTACTGTAAAAAGAAATTATTGACGTATATGTATATATATATGATTTGATCATTACTTTGATGTTTACTTATACATGAAAACTTGTTTTTATCAACTATATGTAAATTTGTTTTACATTCTCAGAAATATAATTAGTTATATATGAAAAAGGAGATGTGAATGATTGTCACTGAAACAATTATCCAACAGAGTTTAAATGAAGTGGATGAAAGCAGCTATAGGCAATAATATGGCCCTCAACAATGAGAAAAACCCATACCATATACATGATTTAGTCGGCTATGAAAGGCCTCGTTATTAAAAATGTCAACAAGGAAAAAAGAAAACTGACGGCCTAATTTATAATAAAATAATTTACAAAAAACAAATATAACAGACATGAACCAACGACAATCACTGAATTACCGGTTCCTGACTTTGGAGAGGCGCATAAAGAATGTGGTAGGGTTAAACCTGTTTATAAAAACCCAACCCTCCCCTAACCTGCAACAAAGGCTTTAAAACCGCAACATAAGAACAAACTGTAAACATCAGTTGCAATTGTCTTAACTCGAAAGATCAGTACGAGGCACAATGTATACATTTAACTTTACTATACAGTATCTTTATGATGCTAATATTGCGTAAACATATCAATCTATAATAAATCTACTTATTTTTAGGAACAGAAAACGTGTACAACTGACTGTCGAGGTAAGATAATAATAGACAGAAAATGTACCACATTGATTCGATTTTGACATATGATGCGGGGTGTTTTTCCCTCTACATTTATTATGTGTACCATCTGCCCAATGACTTCAAAATGTTCACGCGTAATTAAATGCATAGTAACATTTCGTATATATGCCATTACATTTATGTCTTCGGTAAATTAGCTTTGTTAAAATGCATATTAGAAACTTTTATTAATATTGATAGTAAGGCATCTAACAAAAGAACAGCCAAATTTTATTTTAATTTTAAGTTTTAACTTTGCTTGAGGGAGTTTCAATTTATTTTCTTAGAAATGTTTGACACAATATAATACATTAAGCTTAGAATTTAAGAACAGTATGTGATAAATAATTTATCAAAGCACTGAATACTGATACCTTCGGTAACATACATTCCAATAGCATTGGGATATCGATTTGAAAGTATCTCGTGTATAGTTGTTGTATTTCATATCTTGTTTTAGAGAATAAGGTGTTCATGGCACATATATTTATTGTTTCTGATAACATTTCTCATTTTGACAAACTGTAAGGACTGTATGTTACCCTTTAGATTTTTTTTGGTCATAATTTCATGCATTCTTTACTTTTATAGTTTTGGTTTTTGAGCGTTACTTATGAAGGTAAATCTTTAAAAAATAAATGTTTGGAGCGCATTGTTTTTTTAAATGTTATTTCTTATAATCTTGAATCTTTTCATGATGTGTCTTTATTTAAACGCAGTACATGCATGCCTCGTGGTCTAAGATTTGAAGATACCGCAATTATATTGAAATTAACTGTAACAATTTCACTGCACCAAACGCGAAATTCGGCAATCAATTTCTCTTTAGTAATGCTAGAGGCCGAAATATTTGAAAGTCCAAAATATAATAAAAAGACTGAAGAGCTCATTGAACCAAAAATAATCAATAGTAAAGCAAAGTCCGGATATGGAACCAGAGTCATGCTTGAATGAGATGTAATTCTTAATTAAATTTGGTTTCACAATTTATTCTTTAACAGCAAATTAAAAAATATAACATTATTCGTATGTTCATAACTGTACTGAAGTACTGCATTTGTCTACTGAGCTGGTAGGACCATATATATTTCTCTCTCTCTCTCAATATATGTGTGTTTGTCTAATTTGTTAGTTCAATGATTGTATGTTGTTCGCCATTGTAAGTCTGGATTCTCATGACAGGTGATACGTGCATGAAGCAGGAGATAACGACCCTATCACACAATCTGTCTCTTTCGGTTTTGAGTTTCTGTAATTCCATCAGGATAAATATTGCATACTAGAATTCAACATTGATCTTTTATATGTTTCCCTTCATATATAACCTACATTCTAGATTTTAGGGCTAAATTGCGTTCATCTTATCTGTCAGATCATCCGTTCGCACGTTCGCCCGACCAATGTCAATGTAAATTAGATGTGTCAATGTTTATAAAATTGCACACCAAATATCATGATTCACCATTAGTGGTTGGCATTAATTTGACCTTATCACAATCGTAAACAGAATGTTGACTTCGCCGACGCCGGAAACAACATTCCTACGTCTCGCATTTTGACTCGTTAAAGCGAAATTATAACTATAAAACTCTAATGTATAATGGTGAAGTTTTTACCAGACATTGGACAAGAAGTACTAACAGACTCTTCTCTACGTGTTACTAGACATGTGTGCTACCTAGAGGACCAATATGTTTATGTGCCGGCGCATAATATGAAATCAAATATGTGTTAAACACATTACGAAAGCTCTCCTATAATAAGGACATATATTGTAACAATATAATTAAGTCGGAATCCCAACAAACATGAAATCTCGAAAAGCATAAATTAAGCGAAATTAGACAAATGCGCATATGTAAACTAGTTTATAGCTGAGAATATTTTAAAGGTCCAGATGAGACGATGTTACACAAAGTACCAAATGATAAGCATCTAATGAGATTGACAAGTGAGATTGATATACATATGTTTGAGAAGGTATTGCGCCAGCTGGATTATACTGAAAACATAATAAAAGAGTGGAGGAGAATTGAATACCAATTTAGCAGTACTCACAATTTACTTAGTATCATGTTTATGGCACTTCATTATTGGAGAGAGAAAAAAACCTCCGATCTTGAAAATCCTTCTTTGTTTGATATAAACAAGGCTTTATCAACAACTAACGTTAACAAACATTCAATATGTCAGGTATGTTTTAAGCCAACTTTTATTATAATTATACAAACACGTAATGTTTATACACGTCTACTAGAAAAATAAAAGCACATCTTCTGTCCTGATGAAAACAATGGTGTACACACTGAAAAGTCTCATCTGTTTTAATGATCATAATTGATGTTATGTTAAAAGTATTAAAGATATAGGTTTTACTACAAGTATCACATAAACTAAACACTATTAATGAACCATCACAAAGAGGTCAAGATTAGGTAAAGCCGACAGACATGTTCACCTTACTAGCATTCCATTTGCCAAATGTAGTTGACCTTTTGCTTAAAGTATCTACGAAATCGACTTATAATTGCTTGCATCCACTTTATTTGAGCTTTGGTGCATAGTTGTCTCATTGCCAATCATACCTCATCTCCTTATTTTTGTATGAACCAGTAAACGTAACGTTTGCCAATGAACCATTAAAATCCCAGCCAGACATGTACACTTACAATCACACCAAATAGAGTCGACATATTATTATTTACAGAAACTAATCATTGAAGTCTGAAGCATCGATATCTTAAATCATCTGAAATATAAAGCTATATACAAATGATTTACATTGCCGGCGCTACCGCCGGCTTGTAGTACTTAACTTACGCATCATTCTGCAACTTTTATCGCAGGCGAGACAATAACTATATGAATATATACCCTTTGTCAGTTTCACTTAACTGAAAAGACTGATATATTACAAATAATTGTAATCAGACAAACACGATTTCATGTAAAAAGTAATTATTAATTTTTCAAAAGAACAAATAGTGACAGATTTATATTACGCAAATCATGTATCGTGTAAAAATTTGCTTACAAATGTTTCTTCCCTTTTTACCGTTTTCTAATTATTTATTTTCAGATTTTCAGAGAAGACACAACATTACATGGTAAATATGATTACATTTTATATAAGCTTTATTTTTCGTTTTGTCATTGTCTATAACGAAGTTCAAGTGAAATGTGATTCTATCCTTTGTTAGGTATCTCTTTTGACAAATTAAGCTTATTGGTCAGCACTTTTCTGTTGACTGAACATATTACTGATACGTTCATTTTATTTAAATTTACACTTTATATAGTGATTCAGATTATAACACAATGATGACTGCTGTACCCCTATTTTTGACATTTTTACCTATTATATGTCTGTTTGTTTTGTTCACACATCGCTGTCAATATTATGGAATTTTATGCAACTGTCAAACAAGTGAAAGGTTTAGCTAGCTATAAAAAAAGGTAAGATTCACCATTTTCTTCATAAGGTAATGCTTGTACCATGTCAGGAATATGACAATTGTTTTCCATTCGTTTGATGTGTTTGAGCTTTTGATTGTCATGATTGTGCCATTTTTTAAGGTATTAGAATTTTCATTGGAGTTCGGTATTTTTGTTCTTTGACTTTATTTCATTCATCGTTGATTTTTAGGTTTATAAAAAAAAACACCTCCTTCCGCAGCACTTTCAGAATACTTGCATGAGATGGTCATCGATTTCGTTTTCAATTTCCTTTCCAATTGTTGTGATTTGAACTCCATTGATGAATCGTAGGTATTAAAAACGCTTGTAATAAGAAATCCATAAAACTCAACTGTTCTTTTGACAACTTTACATATCGTTAACTAGATCGTGCATACCAGATGTATCATCAATAATTGCTCCTTATATTTTCCATTGAATAATCTTAGTCTTCGCAATCTCACTACTCTAATCGATTAGTAGAAAGAAAACGTTTTCAAATATAAAGGTAATAAGATACATTCAAGAAATACATAAAAAAAAAACATACTAGTTTCATTGTGAGTCTTTTGTAGACGAAACGCGCATGTATCTGTTTTATCTGTGTTTTTCAAAGTTTTAGCATTAGTCAACAAACATAAAACCCCAGTCAGTAATCATATGAAAGACTTGAATTTAACCACCTAACATGCAGCTTTACCAGCTTGTGCTTTACATCACCTATCAAGGAACAAAAATACTTGTGTAATATTTTTTAAAAAAGTCATGGATAAGGTTTAATTTTTTCAGAAAATATGTGTACCAAGTCAGGAATATGACAGCTGTTTTCCACATGTTTCATTGGTTGATAACGTTTAAGTTTGTCAGTTTTTATGAATTTACCTTGGATTTCGGATTTTTTGTTGTACTTTATGTTTAAACGCAACGGATATATTCCTAATGTCGTCCCCTTTTCCCGAATGTAACCTACCCAATTAGACTTATTACCGTGTTTGTACTAACATGAGTAACACGACGGGTGTCAAATGTGGATCAGAACCTGCTTACACTTCTGGAGCACCTGAGATCACTACCAGTTTTTGGTGGGGTTCGTGTTGCTTAGTCTTTAGTTTTCTATGTTATGGTTTGTACTATTCTCTGTCTGTTTGTCTTTTTATCTTTTTTAGCCTCGGCTCGACTTATGAGTTTTAATGTCCCTCTGGTATCTTTTGCCTCTCTTTTAAAATCAAAAATACAAAAAAAAACTGCCTTTGATTAAAATACAAAACGCATATTTAGTTTTTTTACAGAATTGAACCTTGGATTATGGGCGGATTGTACCCTCGGAAAATGATAGTCCACCAGCAATGACGCTTTATCAATTTTCACTCTTTCTTTTTATCTTAATTTTTGAATGCATGATGAAATGGGGAAATTTTAACATTGATAGATTATGTTGCCTCTCATTCATAGATCGTTTACTAAACAAACATGTGCCACATATGGAGCAGGATCTGCCTACCTTCTTTTTTGTTTTTATCCATGGCAACATTCTGCATTATTTACCACAAAATATTGCAAAAAGGGGGATGAAAATGGCACATTTTCATCAAAATTTGGTTCTAACTAGAATTTCAATGCCTTTAAAAAGTTACATCACAAAAATACTGAACTCCGAGGAAAACTCAAAACGGAAAGTCCCTAATCAAATGGCAATATCAAAAGCACAAACACATCAAACGAATGGACAACAACTGTCATATTCCTGACTTGTTTAGTGATACCTTTTCGGAAACTGTTGACATTACTTTACCAAATGATCAAATAAAAAATTGGCGTCTTTTCGTAAAATTAATCACAAAGTTCGTGCGACAAAACGTTGGAAAAAAAAGAATAATAATTGCCGGACCAATGTTTGGTATGGATATCAAAATACGGACTGTCATACAGAAAACAGCCCGTATTACATACATAACATTATCTTGATGTTCCTATAAACCCACTACGAAGACTAGTTTAATCTTCAGCTATCCAAAAATGAATTTTATTGCGCACTAGCTCTCATATTTGAAAAATCCACAGTGGCCAAAATGCTAACCTACACACCTAACTGTGGTGTGCTACCTCAATATGAAATTTTTCCCCCTGCCTCACATTTTAATAAATTGTCTGCGTTCTACTAACTGTAACGATTAAAGTGGTACCTTAGTTTTTGAAATTCTTTCAGTAATAAAGATTTTATGAAGGTTAGCAGTTGATTTTGAAACGCGACAAAAGCTAATAAAAAAAAAATGCTTGATCAAAGTGTAAAACCTCAAGTCTGTCTCATTTTTGGGATAAATTTCAAAACCTTTCCCTGTTTTCTGTTTGAAATCATAAAATTACCTTAAAAGAGGAAAAAGTGTACAATTTTTAGGTATTTGAAAGCACTTATAGGTCAGTTTTGCTGTAAAAAGCATACAAAACCCTGGTTTCGAAACTCTCAATTAGGGTATAAATTTCTAACAGCACTGGCATATCTAAATTTAATTCATGCCAAATTATAAATATAAAATCCTGCTAAAAATGTTTATTTGACTTATTCGCATGCAAAAATATAAAGCGATACATTCTGAGGCTATCATATAAAGCGCAATCTTTGGTTACAAGGGCGAAGCTAATAGAGTACAAATTTAAGACCAAAACATGTCTTAGTGTCAAAATGTGTATATTTGGTTGCTTGGGACAGTAAACAATAAGATTAAAATGTTTTGCCATCCTAGCAGATTTTTTCCCTTCAGAACTAAAATAAGAACCTAACAGAAACAAAAGATTTGTGGTAAAATTTATCTTAAAAAGTGTATTTCTGTGCTTTCTGGTGTGCCATAAGGTAGCACTCCACTGTTAGAAAATAAAATTAAAATTGAACCACAAAATGTTTAATAATCTTCTACTCCTGGCTTTCTAATACATTAAGCCAACTGTTTGTGTCATATATGTGCATATGTATGTAATCAGTATCTTTCATAGATTTGATTTTCAAAAGTTAAATATATAATTCCTTTTTTGTGAATCCATGGCCACATTTTGCATTTATTTTCCATAAAATATTGCAAAAAGGGAGATGAAAATGTCACATTTTCTCCCAACATTTGGTTCAAATTAGAATTTCAATGCCTTTAAGTGATAACTTTTCTGAAACTGTTGATATTACTTTACCCAATGATCAAATAAAAAATGGGTGTTATTCGCCTCATGTTTTTGTACAATTTATTGCACACTAGCTCTCATATTTGAAAAATCCACAGGGGCCAAAATGCGAAACTACACACCTAACTGTGGTGTGATGCCTGACGTGGGACAGGTACATGCATACATAAGGTGGATGGGTTAACCATGTTAGCGGGATCCCAACCCTCCACCTAACCTGGGACAGTGATGTAAAAGAACAACATAAGAACGAACTGTAAAAATCAGTTGAAAAATCTGTTTAATATCTTGACTTACATTTAGAAAGTGACAATGCGGTTCAGTACATTTGTTTTATATTCGTTTGATGTGTTTCGATTTAGCCACTTTATAAGGAACTTAAATTTTGAATTTTCCTTGGAGTTCGGTATGTTTGTTATTTTACTATTTGGGAATATAACTTTACGACAAAAGGGATGATTTCAGTTTCCAGATGTGAAGTTTCTATTTCTATCATTGTGTCTATGTAGCAATCATTCCAGAAGTGCCTGCATATGGAGTATATATATCCCCGATGATACAATATTCCAGAGCTTGCGTTTCCAATCATGATTTATTTGATGGAAGCTTCTAGACCAGGAGTTACAAGTCGTGAAGTTGAAATCATCCTTACGATTTTTTCACGGACGCCATAACGAGTTGATTGACCAGTAAGGCAGATTCAAAATGGAAAGTCCTTTATCAAAAGGCAAAATCCAAAACTGAATCACGTCAAACAAATGAAAAACAACTGTCATATTCCTGACTTGATACAGGCCTTTCCTCATATAAACAAATTGTCGATTAAACCTCTCCCTTGTATGATAGTCAAATAGAATTCCATTATAATGACAGCAATGTGTGAGCAAAACAAACAGACAGAAAGGGTAAAAGTGTCAAAAATTGGAGTAAAGCAGTCAAAATTATGTTATAATCTTAATCACTATAAGAACAAAGAAATATGTATACAAAGAAAAACACAATGACACAAAGTTCCTCTATAGACAAAGCATATGAATACTGAACCACGCTAAAGAATAGAGTAAACAGTAAAGGTTAAAAAAACACAAGGACAAATTAAAAGAACATAATAAACAACGTCAATAGATATAAAAAAATGTGGTATGAGTCCCAATGAGGCAACTCTCCATCCAAGTCACAATTTGTAAAGGTAAACCAATAAAGCCTCAATACCTAGAATCTTTCCTTCAAGCGCATCATGTATTCCATCTATAAAAGCATGCATTGCGATTGTTGGGTTCTCTTAAAAGTGTTTCTCAGTTAATGATTGATTGCTGGTTGCTTTCATCCATTGAAAAATATTTCAAAGACAAAATGATCCGTTTAGTATATGGTGGTATCAGGGACACCTGTACTCTTTCCAGTAAGAAAGATAAGAAACAAATTACATTAAAAAAAAATGTCCTCAAACATAAATAAAAACATTCAAATGTTTTAAGATTCT